CAAAAGTTGTACTGAAAAGTGGCTATTGGGAAAAAAGGAAAGTTAGGAAGCTTAATAAATTGATTTCAAACAGATATTTTTCTAAATTTCCCATCACTATGCATTAACTATCATAATTCTCCAAATATTTCAGTTCTTGGCCATTGTATTGTGTTGAATATATGCATAGGAAATTGTAAATCATTAGCTTTTTGTTGCTGTTGCTGGTTTGTTTTTGGTAAAATACTAATTGAACTAAGAAGTATTTAAAGATGAATGTGGAAATAGAATGGAATTCTTGGTAAAAAACATGTTAATGCTAGATGGACTTATAGTTATATAAGGTAGTTATCTGTCCTCATCCAGAGTGATGGGCTTTTGTGGGCTGGGAGAATGTGTTTTACACACTGCCTGGATCCCACATGTGTGCACATCGGTGTAGATAGAGCTTCGCCGGTGTGGCCCAGTTCCTGGTAGGCTGAGGACCATTGGCAGTCTGCAACCCAGGGGTTGGGGACCCCTCTGCTGGAGGATAGATCTATCTTTACTATTAATAGGATATTTATTTTGTGACCCCTGATTTTTTAAAATTCTGATAATAAATGTGTTTTTCTTTTGTGAAGCTGATGTTACATATATTTGGTTATTAAGATAGACATCCTTTTGTAATTTTAGACAGGGAAGGGACGAGAAGGGGAGGGGAGGGGCAGGGAAGAGAAATCATGCACCAATGCTTTTTGAACAGATTGATTAATCACTACAAATAATTATTGGCTTCTATAATTAGATTTAACAAGAAATTTTAGAATGCTTACAATCATCATACTTACTTTAATTAACAAATATTTTGTTCTCCTCCTTGTCTACTTATCAAAAATGATTCTATTTAATACAGAATATCTTCTTTATCTGCCCTTCTGACAAATCAAGCACGCGCACACATACACATACACATACACANGCCATTTTATTTACCTAGGGAGATTTCTGTTATAGTTATAACTGCTGTCTATATTCCACCTGATGAAAATGTTAGCGTAGTGCTCTCTAAGTTACAGGACGCCATCAAGAGGTAGCAGAAAATTTACTCTGAGGGCATTTTTGTCGTGGCTGGGGATTTTAATCTAAAGTCTGTTCTCCCTAAGTTTGTGCAGTATGTGCAGTGTATCACCAGAGTTAAAAATACTTTAGATCATATTATTCAAACTTAAGACAGGCATATAGAGCAATCCCCCTCTCCCATCTGGGTATGTCTGACCACATCTCTCTGCTACTGTGCCCAAAGCATATCCCCCTTAGAAAAAAGATACAACCAGTCTTGAAAACTGTCAAAATCTGGCCAGAGGAAAAACTCTGCTAGTTGCAGGGCTGCTTTGAGACTACCGAATGGAGTATATTCGAACATTTGGAGCTGCAAGAATTCACTGACACTGTACGCTCATACATTAAAACATGCACAGACAATGTAATAGTGAATAAGCGCATCAGAGTTTACAGTAATCGTCAGCAGAGGTACAATCACTTGCGAGAGCGCAAAATGTTCTAGGTAGGGAAAACACAGGTGGACAAACTGAGGCGAGCCAGGACTTCAAAATGCTAACAGTTTTTAATGCTAACAGGTTTCCCACATGGCACATCACAACACCTGCATCTCAGCTGAATGGCAACAGCTGAGCCCTGTTTGACAGCTCTTTATATATACCAGCTGTCAAACAGGTAACCAATCAGGAGTGAGGACAGTGCCCCCTAGTCAATGGATCAGAGGGAAAACTACAGAACGTAGCACTCCTTCTCACCTAGAATCTTCCAAGTAGCCAGGACGGTGCCGGACTCGCCCTGATCTTCTCAGTGTGCTTTCGGAAGCCGTAGTAGGTAGTTGGCTCATCGGAGCTACTGGATTAACTAGAGAGTGCACCCTTTTTTTCCCCGATGACGTCTTTGTTACCTTGGAACTCGGAAACGCTGGAATGTCACTGGGAAGAGCAGATAAGGTTTTCCTATAATAGCGTTGAACCTCTCGGGGGAAGAAGAGCGAGATCGTAAATTCAGTTCGCTAGTCTTGGCTGGGATGGTCTGCAGGCTTAGCTGACATGGGTGCTGCACCGCCATGTTTGGGGGAAACTTGCCTGGCCCTTAATTGATTGATATGGCATCTCCAAACCCTTCCATCCTCTATTTCTACTATGTAAGAGCAGGGTCCGGTGATTTGTTTAACTATGCCAGGCAACCACAGGAGATGGACAGTGTAATTTCTGGCATAGACTGGTGCTTCCACAGTGAACCCCCTAAGCTGTCTATGAGAGTCCAGGGGCCTTTCAGACGCATACTCCGGGTGCAGATGGTCCAAAGTGGTTCTTATTCGTCTACCCATTAACAACTCAGCTGGGCTTTTGTTGGTTGTGGTGCATGGGGTGGCATGGTGTCACAATAAGTATTGTCAATGTCCTCCTGCCAGTTCATGGGGCCAAACCTCCCTAAAGCCTCCTTGGTTGTGCAGACCACTTGTTCCACCAGGGCATTCGTCATGGGGTTGAATGGGGCTATGAAAGCGTGGCAGATTCCCAAGCGGGTGAAGAAAGTGGCCATTAGGGAGGCTGTAAATTGGGGCCCATTATCAGACACAATCAAATCAGGCAACCCATGGGTAGCAAACAACCACCATAATACCCAGATAATGACTGGGGCTGTGGGTCAAACTTACTTTGACCCACTTTGAAAATGCATCGACAAGTACAAGAAAAGTCTGGCCTTTAAAAGGACCCACTAGGTCAATATGTACCCAGGACCAAGGAGCCCCTGGATGTTCCCACTTTTGAATCGGGACTCAAGGAAACACCCGCCGGGACTCTTGGCAAGGGGGACAACCAGAAACCCAATGTGCGATGTCCTGGTCCATGCCAGGCCACCAGGCATAGCTTCAGCCCAGGGATTTTATCCTGACTATGCCTGGATGGGCCTCGTGCAAAATGGTTAGCACAGAGTCTCGACGGGATGCCAGAATGACCACTCTGCTGCCCCATAGTAGGCACCCTTGTGTGATGAAAGTTCATTTTGACGGAGTGCAAATGGACATAATTTGGTGCTGAACGGACCTGTCAGCCATCCTCTCATTGTCCTCCCCAACACCTTAGACAGCAGTTTGTCCCAGGCAGTGTGTTTAGCTATATCAGCCACGGTGATTGGCAGCTGCATGTCATCAATTAGCAAAACTCTGGAGGCTGGTGCTGGGTCTTCAACTGTGATAGGCAATGGGCATCTGCCTAAAGCATCAGCGTGGCAAATATGTTTTCCTGACTTGTAATGTAATGTATAGTTATATGCTGCCAGGAAAACAGTCCATCTGGTGAACCATGGAGACAGAATTTAAGGAGTTTGTCTGTCCCCAGCAATGATGCCTAACAACGGTTTGTGGTCAGTCACTAAATGGAAGTGGCAGCTATAAAGATAGGCGTGAAAATGTTTCACTCATGCCACTATAACAAACGCTTTGTGATCAAGTTGGCTATAATTCCTTTCTGGCGAGGAGAGAATGCAAGAGAAAAATGCCACTGGAGCTTCTAGTCCTGACGGCAGTCTGTGGCTCAGGACTGTGCCAACCCCATAACGGGAAGCATCACACGCCAACACTAAAGGTAGAGACTCATTGTATTGCAGGAGCACGCTGTTAGAAGTGAGGAGATTTTTTACAGTTTGAAAAACCATGGCTTCTTGCGTTCCCCATGCCCATTTTGCTGGATGATCTTGTAAACGGTATAGGGGCTCCACCAGCGATGCCTTATGCTGCAGGAAAATGTTATAAAAATTTAAGAGTCCCAGAAAAGCTTGTAGCTCAGCTTTAGTGGTCAGCGTTGGAGCATGTTATATAGCTTGCACCTTGTCAGGGATAGGATGGATTTCCTTTGCATCTACTAAGAATCCCAGAAATTCGACATTTGGTTGTTTTTAACTTCAAGCTGACGTCTCTGAATCAGCGAAGTACGGTACAGAGGCGGAACAGTAGGTCAGCTAGGGACCGCACTGATACCAAGACATTGTTGAAATAAGGGACGACGCCTGGTATGCCCTGCAATAACCTCTCCATAAGATTCTGAAACAGTCCAGGAGCCACACTGGCTCCAAACTGGACTCGGTGTCACCTGAACGCACCCCTATGTATGACAATAGTTTGGGCCTCAGCAGTTGCCTCATCTACAGGCAACTGATGATATGCCTGTGCTAGGTTCAATTTAGCGAAAATGGTCCCCTGTCCCAAAGAATACAGCAAGTGCTGCACCATGGTGACAGGGTATGCACTCTGCTGCAACGGACTGTTCAAAGTGCATTTAAAATCAGTCAGTGACGTGCGGTGAGGTTGATACCTGGTTAGGCTCAGCAGGGCAGCGGTCGGCCTCGACGGGGGGGGGGGGGCAGTGGGGCACTTTGCATCACGGGAGCCACCAAGCGCCTTTGCTGCAGACCCGGGCGCTTGGTTGCTCCTGCGATGCAAATTCCCCCCCCCCCCCCCCCGGGGGGGGG